CAAATGACGCTGCTGGGGCGCGCACATTTTTTTAAGATTTTTTCAATGTTTTTATGAATTCGGTCCTAGGGAAACTGACAACAATAGGTATTTTGCAACCCTCGTTAGGAAACTTCAATCTAAGCTCGACATTTGTGAGTGAGAAATAGTTACACTTAAAAACTTTCAGTACTTCATTGGTCCTCCAAACCACGGTCTGTGTTTGTGGTTTGCAGACTAAATGGAGCACGCTGGAAGCAGGGATGCAAAAAAAATAGTAAAACAAATGTATAGGTAAATATAGCTTCGATCTGGAATTTATGGATGTTTGGATACTAGAAACTTAGTAATTCAAAATTTTTTTCATAAAGGTGCTATCTTTTCCAAGAAACTTGTGGAAAATGGAGAATAATGTTTATCCTAAAAGGGATAATAACGGGTCATGTAAGTAAGAAAAGCAAAGCATAGATTAGATGAATGGTAAATTTAATGCAAGTTATCTTAGAGCAGATAGCCAGAAGATTTCTCGATCGGAAGCTACCATGCCACTGTATTTTAGTGAACTTGAAAATGTTCCGTATTTACCAAACATGGATACCCTTCTGTACATCTCCATAAACCCTTTTTATCCTGAATATCAATTGACGATGTTATTCAATGTTCCATGAACGTTTTATGTTGGTGGTCGGTGGCAATATGCCTTCTAACAGCAATATCTCATTTGGCCTGACATCCCAGGAAATCGTCTTTCTCATCAGACGATTTCATTCCAGACGGCATGTATAGGTCTGACCAGCTACGACAAGTTAAGTGGACAGCCCAACCGACAGTTAGACTGTCGGTTTTGACGAGGTCTGCTGTGTGCTCAACAACAGAGCAATGCAGGGACGGTGCCTCGCGTTGAATTTTTTAGGGCCCAACTTAACCGCGTGCGCACACAGCCCTGACAAGTCGTTCCCACGCCATACGACCGGTCCACTCATACACAGCGTAGCTGCGGCCAGGTAGAGGACTCTAACACGCCAGCTATATGAGTCACAAATCCAGTGCAGTCGCTTCTCACTTGAGACCACAATCGGATTGGTCCAAACTTGTACGCTTTGCTTGCCATAAGTACGCCGTACCAGGTATGCGACATAGACTTCTACTTTTGCGATATTGTTATTGTGTTCTTCCTTCGGGACTCACATAAGGCGTAAGTAGACGGCAATAGCCCGGCTTTCTGGCTAACATTTACAAAAAATTGGCGACTATAGTAAGAGTAAGTTTTCGCTGCTCACGTCATCTTCCCCTCCCCCACCTGGGTCCAGCGTCAAAGCAAAGTCAATAAGACCGGAGATGAGTGTGTGCACTCCCACGCAGTGTGGGTCACCACAAAGGGAAACAACAGTAAAGGGGGCGGCCCAGATTGGGAGTGCCATAAACGCCAGAGTACTGATGAGCCATTGTAGCCTGACTCTCAGTCCGCCAGTCAGACATCCCG